TCAACGAAGTACAGATTAATTAATTCCTCCCCCTCTACACAAAAATGAACTTCAAGCGCGTTCCCCCCCCTTAAAAAAAAATAAAATCAAAAGATTTACTTCCCGTCCCCTTTCCCAGGGGATGAGCCAGTGCACCCCCAAAGCCGGGATTTGGGGGGGGGGACACCCCCAGCCGAGTCAGGGCAGTAAAATGCGGGGGGGTTTAAGCCCGGCCATCCCAGGCAGCCCCGGAGCCTCCCTGTAACGCGCAGCGCTAAAGCGAGGGGAAGCCGGTAAAACCCCTCCAGCCCCTTTTCCCCCTATTTATTTCTCAGGTTCCTCCTCCAGGTTTTCCCCTTCCTCAATTTTCCTCTTGGAAATTTATCCACGCTTTAGTTTGGAAGTCATACACTTACAGCCTAAGTGATATTATTCTTCCCTATATATATATATTTTTTTTATTATTATTATTATTTTTCTTTAATCTTTCTAAATTACCTCCAGGAATGAGGGTTGGCGCTACCGTGAGCCTCGGAAAGAGCCGCCTGTTGTCTGCTTTTCCATAAACATCCACTTTTCCAAATCAACTTTTCCAGGATTTTTCAATGGGAAAGCCCAGCGCTCGGCTCCGCGGCTGCGCTTGAAATTTTCAAATGTGAACTAATCCAACTTGGTTATTTTTTCCCCCCCCACCAGCCCGCTTTTTTATTGTTTGTTTCTGGTCTGATAGTTTGCAATCTGGAGTTCCATACTTTAAAAAACCAAAAAAAAAACCCCCAAAATATTTAGTGCCATAGCCCACGGTTAAAATAGTGAAAAATTAGTCTCGTTTCAGAAATTATTTATTTATAGAACGAACATGATTAAAACATAAAAAACACACAAACTGCAGCTGCAACAAAAAAAAACCCACCGTGATTTACGATTATTAAATCTTTGATTGCCATGTTAATGTTTCTTTTTCTACCTTTCATTTGCATTTTAATCTATCGAATCTTTACAATTTTGCTGCCTCCTACTCGAATGATTGATTACACATCTGAAAGAGAAAAAAAAAGAAAAAAACCCTCACAACTAAGCTTTCTAGGCGAGCTT